TCACTTTATTCTCATACAATGCAGAACCCCCAGGTCAGGGGTGGTACTGCCCACAGTAGGCTGGGCCCTACCACACAATCATCAATCAACACTGTGCCCCACAGACATGGCCACAGGCCAATCTGGTGGAGGCATTTCCTCAGTCAAGGTTCCCTCTCCCTCTGTGACTGGTTTGTGTTAAATGGACAAAAATGGAACCAGCACGTTGAAGCCCATACTTTCTCTCTAACCAGTGACACCTGATGTCAGTCCAGTAGATACTCAGTAGACAATTTAATTATTGAAATGTGCCATTCAGGAAACTTAAGGTTGCTTGTTACTTAGTAATTGTGAGGGTCTCAAGAGCATCTTCTTACTGTTAGTCTCTCAGTCTTGCACTTAACTATATCACTGGAAAACCAGTACCCGGGCTGTCTTCTCTTGTACAATGTATCTGAAGACCAGAAATGTTGCTTGATGAATATTTCAGTACCTTATGCATAGCAGCATGGGAAAATCACTTAATTTATCTGATATTTCATATCAAGACTCCTTTGATAATTCCTGCTTGAACCAGTTCCAGATTCTTCTGTATCTCTGGCGTCTCCTGTAACTCTGCCCTTCTTTATCCCAGCATCCTTAGTTTGGTTGTCCCTCCTGTACTTCCTGCCTGGCTCTCTGCCTGCCAGCTTTTAATTAACCCATGGGAGTAATGCATATTCACAGCGTACAGAAGGATTATTCCACAGCACAAGCCATGGTGGCACTTATCTGTAATCTCAGCTACTAGAGCTGGAGAATCACAGGTTCTAGGTCAACCTAGGCAACTTCGTGAGCCTCTGTCTCAAAATGAACAGTAGGGAAAACAGAAAGAAGGCTGGAGATATGGGTCAGTGGTAGGGTGCTTTCCTAGTATATATGATGCCATAGGCTCAATCCCCAGTACTGGATATAGTAAAGTAAGCTAAAGGTTGAACTGTCTTCTTCTCCTCCCTCTCTTCTTCCACCTCTCCTCCCACCTCCTCCCCTTCCATCTCTTTTTGAGACAAGGTCTCACTTTATAATCTTCTCTGGCTTTGCTACCTGCACCAAGTTGGCCTTGAACTCACAGAGGTCTGTGCGCCTGTCTTGAGTGCTGGGATTAGAGGCCTGTGCCACTGTGCCCTGCTTACTTTACTTTGTTATCTTACTTTATTTGCAAACTCATGCGACGTTATCCTTCTGTTAAAATTTTGATTCTTATTGTATAATGGGAAAATACACACTTTTGTACATTGGAATTTTTCAGTTTCTTGTGACCTAAATCAAGATCTAGTTTTGTGATTATTTGATGTCTACTAAAAGAAGGAATCTGTTTTTCTCTGTCCCTTTGTCACTTTATTTTTACATCTATGAAACTGGAAGAAACCACACGTCCAGCTTCTTTGACTTGTTATTTTTTTTAATATTGCAAAAGTAAGGATCAAATTGAAAGTCATAAAAATACTCTTTCTCTCTTCAAACCCACAAGGAGTATATCTTGACATAAGTAAACATAAAAGGAGAGGAAATGAGGAAAAGAAAATATCTCTCCTTGAAACTCTGGGTAACAGGTGCTCACCCTTCTTTGGGGCACAATTCAAACTGACAGAGAGGGACTGGCCAGGGTGGTGGAGGAGCCACCTGCAGTGATGATTCTGATGTTTGTTTCCTTAGAGGCCACTGGCCTTGGACATTAATATAAGTGAAGCTATAACGTGGTCCTGAGAAGAACCACCGTGTGCTACCTCGGGTAATGGTCCCCCACTAGGTTGGTGGGTGGTGGTTCACTAGTCAGTTAGAGCCACTCGGGTTGCTTAGGAGGCAATACAGAGAACGGTCAACAGTTGCACTGGAAGAGGAATTTGATGCTCTAGTCATGGGCATCATCCTAGAGATCTAAGTCATATCCTTAACCCATAGCCCCTAAAATTGTTTGCTGTAAGGAGTCCAGCCTTCAACGCCAGCTTTAATTCTTATGCTGCTGCTGCTGCAGCCCTCTTCTCTTCTGAGAACTCTCATATCACCGTTGCCTCCCCACCTCCTGGACAGGGTCATCAACTTACCTTGTAGTTCCAATAAAATGTCAAGTATGTCTAGACACTACAAGTCACCAAAAGAGTGCCATAAACTTGAAAGCAAACAAACAATGTGAGTATTTATTGGGCTATTTCTTTCCTACCTGTGTGACACTTGTTGCAGCGTATTGCTGGAAAAACCATGCCTCCTTTTCTCTCCAAGAAGGCAGGAATCCTCAGCCATTTGGAATCATGCAGAACCCCTTTATTTGGGTGAAGGTAGCAATTATTGGTACCCCTTATCCACCTCCCTCCCTCCTACCCCAAGGACAACAGTTATAGAGCTAAAGATAACGAGGAAGCCTCTGTGTAACTCAAGAATAGCAAGAGTAGGAGGTGGCAGTTGGCTGATTCACTGGTAATATTTTGGCTTCTATAAGGACAACAGAGTCCATCAAATGTGATTGTCTGGTATATTGGAAAGAGCATGAAATGAGAGGGACTTGGTTAGAATTTAGGTTTTACTCTGTATTGGCTCTGAGATTTTAGCTGACATAATTGATGTTCCTGAATCTGCGAGCATTTGAAACGTTAAAAGAATTCCTACCACTGTCACTACGATGGTGAGTGCCCGTCTAAAGACACTGGAGCACATTAGCACTGGCGACTGCACACACTCGGAAGGCTTTGAGGAGGGAGGGTTGTCACTGTTCGCTGATTGAAGTGTTGGTAAAGGATTCTTTTCCTATTCTCAATTTTTTTTTGGGGGGGGGCAAGCCAGGTATTATGGAACACACAATCCTACACTTAGAAGGCAGAGACCGGTGGATCTCTGTGAGTTCGAGGCCAACCTGGTCTACAAATTGCAGGACAGTCAGGAATTTTACACAGAGAAACCCTGTCTCGAAAAACAAAATAACATAAAACAAAACAAAACAAAACAAAAAAAAAAAGAGTTGGTGGGGAAGAAATGGCTCAGCTGTTAAGAGCACATCCAGCTCTTGCAGAAGACCTCAGTTTGGGTCTAAGCAGCCATGTCTGGTAGATCAAACTTCCTGTAACTCCAGATCCAGGGGATCAGATGACCTCATCTGGCCCTGTATAAAGATCTGTTTACATGTACACACACACACACACACACACACACACACACACACACACACACCCTACAAAATAATAAAAGAATTAGCAGCTGGGCAGTGGTGGCAAACGCCTTTAATCCCAGCACATTGGAGGCAGAGCCTTTAATCCCAGCACGCAGGAGGCAGAGAGGGCGGATCTCTGTGTTGAAAGCAGCCTGGTCTACAAGAGCTGGTTCCAGGACAGCTAGGACTGTTACACAGAGAAACCCTGTCTCAAAAAACAAAACACAACAAAACAAAACAAAGCAGTTACATCCTTTTTGGCATATCATCCAATTAATTAAAAAATGAATTGCCGAGTTTATTAATCGCTTCATGTTATAAGAGTAATTTATGCCTTTGTGCAAATGTGTTTTTACTGGGCGTTGAACCCAGGGCTTAGTTGCTCGAGTAACTTTTGACCTGCCTGCTATGTGCAAGGCTCTCATGGAAAGTTTGTGTTAAGAGTCAACGATTCATTTACTTAGATAACCTCTTGGATCATTTAAAGTTCTTAAAAAAAAAAAAAAATCTGGGAGAGGGTGTCTTTTTTTACCCACAGCAAACATGGCGGAGAGAGCTTTAAACTGACCTCTCGGTCCCTCAACAAAGATGGCTCCCACACTTCCTGCCCTTGCCCTCAACAAAGATGACTACAGTACTTCCTGTCTAGGGCTTTTGCCTGCAACAAAGATGGTGTTTATGGCACGGGTTCCCTAACATTTGGATTCCGGTTGTAGTCTTTTTTTTTTTTTTTCTAAGATACGTGGTCGCAGACGTAAGTAACAGGAGTCCATCTTCTCCCGAAATCCCCGCGCTGTGGCGACATCGCCCCTGCGCGGCTCTCTCGGTGCAGTTTGCTCTGGTCCCAGCTGGGCGAGGATTTGGGTGGAGGGGCCGGGGGCCGGGGGTGGCTTTCCCGGTGAAGATCATTCCGCGGGTTCGTGTCCCCTGCACATGGCTGGTATGACATAAGGACGGCTTTCAGCTGCCCCGACAGGGACACCTCAAAAGTTCCACAGGGAAGCACGCTGCGGGCTACGGACACTCCCCACCCCTCCCCCGCCCACCTGCCAGCTCAGGACTTTGCAGAGGCTGGTGGCGAAGGTTGGGATCGGGTATCCCCCGTCTGCGCTCCCTCCAGGGGTGTCTGAAGCCCTGCCAGCCACCCATGCTTGCCCTTTCCTCCCCACCATGACCTTCACTGCCACCCCACTGCACACTAGCCACCTGCACTCATTAAACGTCCATCTGTACTGTGACCCAGGTTCTGGACTCTGACGATGTGTATAAGGCTTACTGTAAAAGGCACACAAATATTTTCTTGAAGGTGCTGGTCCTGCGGAGGGAGGACTTGTCTGTAAGAAAGATCCATAAGCTCGTTCTTACCTCTAGATTGTCCTGCCTGCCTCCCACCCCCCATGGCTGCTCAGGGTCTATAACTGTCCCTGGTCATTTTGGCAGCTCCTGAAGGATGGGTGCTGCCCTGATGGATGAAAGCAATATTAAATTAAAATCCGCTATAATTAAATGCTGTTCTATGATTCTCAGGGATTGCATTTTATGTGAGGTCTCAGATCTGTTTTCTGTCAGATGGATCGCTTACTGAAAAAGGAATTGAAATAGGGCCCCACAGTGTGGAAAGTAGAGATAAAAACAGATTCCTCATTGGTGTGGTTCATTATGTTTGGAACTGTTTGAAGTTAGCTGCCAAGGTAGAAAACACTGCGGCTTGACACTCTCTTAAGATGGGGAGATCTGACTGGCCTTAAGGTGCTTATTAATGATGTTATAACAGCACTATCTTGAGGGGGTCCCTGAGCATTCCCATACCCTGAGTGTTGATTTTGTTTTTTTTTTCCAGGGAGGAATGGATGCCAGAGACAAGCAGGTGCTCCGTTCGCTGCGCCTGGAGCTGGGTGCCGAGGTTTTGGTGGAGGGGCTGGTTCTGCAGTACCTCTACCAGGAGGGGATTCTGACCGAAAACCACGTTCAAGAAATCAAGGCTCAAACCACGGGCCTCAGAAAAACAATGCTGTTGTTGGATATCCTGCCTTCCAGGGGCCCCAAGGCATTTGACACCTTCCTAGATTCCCTGCAGGAATTCCCCTGGGTGCGAGAGAAGCTGGAGAAGGCGAGAAATGAAGCCGTGACTCAGCTGCCCACCGCAGGTAGGCCTCAAAGAGATCACTTCAAAATGGCTCGGGAATTGTCGCAACTCTGCCCTTTGGATAGAGAGTTGGGTGTTTTAGGGGGGCGGGGGGCAGTGGTTCATGAACACAGACAAGGACGTTGGACCGAAAGGGCATCCGGGGTCACAATATGGAGGTGTTAGGAAACTCAAGGGAAAAGGGGAGAGTGAGCCAAGAGACTGAGAGGTTAAGGAGGGAGCCCAGAGACAGCTGAGATATGCTTCCTGGGAAGCCTGGCAAGTCACTAGGGAGGCATGTTCTCATGGGAGAGCCAGGTCAGTGTGAGCCCTTTGGCAACAGGAGCCGTTTGGAAAGTGCAGATGGGAAAGCAGGCTTTGGCCTACTGATAACTGAGGTGTGGGGTGCCAAGCTGCCAGCTGGAGATGGTCAGAGGACGGGGGAGACAGCCTCTCGGAAGGCACACCCTGCACCTGTCCCTCCAACCAGCCCCTGATGCCCAGGAGATTATTAGTTAGTTTGTTTGTTTTTAAAAAGGCTATTGGTTTAAAGTGGCCTTTGAAATTTCAGCTTTGTTCGGATACCTGGGGCATTTTGTTTTGCTAGGGCAGTCATTTGGGGGCATGGAGGGGGGGAGGGGGGAATTTCATTCTGCTTTTCAAGGAGAATTGGAAATTGTGGTTTTAAAAGAAACAGTTTGGTGCTGTGTGCCCGGAGCTGTACACACAGCTCTTCCCTGTGAGTCCTCTAATGAATGCTATTTTTACAAAGATCAGTGAACAGAGGCCTGACCTAGAAAGGCTATTTTTTTTTTTTTAAACAGGTTGATAAAGTCAACTTTAGCCTTTTTCCAGAGTTAAGAATTCAACATTTTCTGGGTTTTTGATACAGGGCCACTTAAGCCAGTGGTCTTCAGAATTTATTGTTCCTATTTTAAAAAAAAGTCTGTAACAGAGCGCAGACCTTTAGTCTCAGCTCCCAGTGGGCAGTGCCAGGTGAATCTCTGTGAGTTCGAGGCCAGCCTGGTCTACAGAGAGAATTCCAGGATAACCAGGACTACATAGTGAGACGTGACTGTAACTATTTAAAAAACGCAAATGCTACCAGTAAATTCCTTTTAGTAATTTTTGCACCACAGGCCTCGTATTTCGAATGGTTTTGAGACCACATGTACTAAGCAATTATAACGTACTCTTTAGTCATAAATGACATATATTTGAGTATCTGACTAATATGGGGCATCCAGTTAATCTAGAAAGACCCGGTAAACATTTAAGTGGAAAACCTAAAAATATCTGTATTCCTAACTTGTCCGAACTCCATGTCGTTTTGAAGCAGTGAAAATGCTGGCTTTTGAGGATCTCTAGAATTTTCAGCTTGGGTTGTCCTTAGAAAATGACATATTCCGTGTGCCTGAACACGACCAGGGTAAACTATCTCAGGCATTCCTACCACTTTGTTAACAGTGGTTCCATTCATGGCTAGCTCTCTCTTTGCCTGGTGCTCTCAGATACGCGAGCTCTCAGCTACTGCGGCATTTTCGGCGGTGCCCGGCCTGCCTGTCTGCCGCCAGGCTCCTCGCCATGAAGGTCATGGGCTCTAGCCCTCTAGAGCTGTGAGAAAGCCCCTATAAACTCCTTGTGGATAAGGAAAACAAGTGACCCTGCAATTGCCTTTGGGAACCTGACCTTCCTAATTCTTACAAATGCGTCATGAGTCTGAGGTTCGTCATTCATTCTCTTCATTTGCAGTTTTCTAGCTCGGAAGAATCACTTAAAAAACCCATATTGATTATTGAAAATCTATTGTGCCATAGGGCCCAGTGGCAAATGTGTATACCTATAAGTTTTGTGTGTGTGGATGTGTGTACGTGTGTGTGGATGTATGTGTGTATGTTTGTGGATGTGTGTACATGTGTATGTGAGTGTATGTGTATATATATGTGTGTGTTTGCATGTGTATGTGTATATGTGGGTATGTATGTGTGTGTTTGCATGTGTATGTGTATATGTGGGTATGTATGTGTGTGTATGTGTGTACGTGTGTATGTGAGTGTATGTGTGTATATGTGTATGTGTGTGTGCGTGTGTGTGTACATGTGTATGTGAGTGCATGTATGTGTGTGTGTGTGTTTGGGACTGAGGATGGAAGAAATATATTTTAAAGGAGTTGATACTTAACTGCTTTCTGTTACTTAAGACATTAAATATTCTTAACTGTTTAATTTCATGGAACTCTGATTGTAAAATTAAACTGAGGTTTAGTGAATTGGAAGCTTGTGTGGGTGTTGGTTTTTTTATTTTAGGGGTGTATTGTGGGGGGCTTAAAGCTACGGACCATCATCAGAGCTGTTTGCCTTCTCACTTATGTCTCTGGAAAGAAAGCAAATGCAGGCAGAGGCCTATTTTCTGGGACCTCACGTGGTTTTTCTCACGTGGTGTCAGAACAGCCTGAGCGGGCTTTGCTTCTTGGGCCAGGCGTGGCAGCGCACGCCTTAAGTCCTAGCACTTGGGAGGCAGAGGCAGGTTGATCTCTGTGAGTTTGAGGCCAGCTCAGTCTACAAAGCAAGTTCCAGGACAGCTAGAGCTACATGGAGAAACCCTGTCTGGAAAAACAAACAAACAAAACAAAAAAACAAACCAAAACAAAAAGGCATCTTGGATTCTGAGAACTAGATTCAAGGAAAATAGGGTGTTGTAACACAGTGGCTGTTTCTTACTTTCCCTAAAGTTGGCTGTGATTGTTCTCATAGAACGAGTTTGGTGCCCTGCCCTTGAGAAGCCTGGAGAAAGGACGGGACGGACTCGCTTTCTCTTAGCCTACCGGGTGATCATTCCCCAAGAATGACCTGACTTTATTTTTGCTACAGTGTTCGGCTTTTTTCCTCTGGCAGTCTTGGCTTTCTCCTTCTTTGTGTATTTCAATTCTGTGTTTCACTTCTACATTTTGAGCTGCGTCAGGCATTCGTGTGTGTGCGTGTGTTAGTTATTTGTCTTTGTATATATGCTGAATGTAAGTTTTTAGAACAAAATTGAGTTGTGTCTCATTCTCTACACCTCTAACTTCCACCCCTCAGCAAGTCCTCAAACATAGCAAAAGACTACCCGGAATCTTCTGATTGTATCTCAGAATTTTCTCAGGGCTCCCCATCTTTATTTAAAAAACAAAACAAAACAAAACAAAACAAAACAACAACAAAAAGTATAAAAGTCTGCGATGTAAGAGGATAACTGGTTTGTGTTTCCTCACCCCACAAGGACTCTTACCTTTCAAAAGAATTCTGCCGCTAAAATGGCTTGAGCCATCTTGGCACGGCAGAAGGAACACTTCTCAGGGCGTTGTTACTGTGGCCAAGGTCACACACTAGACATTAGATCAGCAGGAAGTCCTCTCTGGACTCTTGCTGGGTCACTTTAGGAGACAGGACAGCTCTGGGTGTGGCCAGGGCAGCCTGTGGCTGGTGGCCTGGCTTCCCCTCCTGGGGGCCCTGTCCGCTCAGCAGCTCTCTCTAGCGCCTGAGCTAATCTGGCTTGGGAAAGGAGCTGTTCCTGAAGCCCTGGCCTGGCTATCTGATGGGACCTGGTGTAAGCATGGTGGACTGGCTGCTGGGCCACAGGACCCTCTGTTCTGTCTTGTTTGCCCCGGACTCTATCTGTGCCATGGTTCTCTCTTATACAGTCTTCCCAGTAGCTCTACCTTTCCCCTCATCTTCCCTCCGGCTTGGGCTTTGTTTTTTCTCTCCTTCATCAACCAGATTCCTGTTGTATTCTGGCCACTAGTGAGGGAAACCATAGCTCTGCCTCCTGCCTAGGTCCTCAGCCTGGTTTAGTGGCGGCCCAGAGGCTAGCCCATGTTTTCAGCCTTGCCTGACCTTCAGGGGGTCATCCCAGTGGACGGTTCGTCCCGGATTGCCCGACTGGCCTCACTGGTGCGGTACACTGGGTTAACTTGCCTATTTCCTCTCTGCCCAGAGGAGTCTGGCCCAGCCTGCCCCTTTTGAGCTGGCCTTGAGTGACCCTGAGGAGCACCATCAGCTACTCTCTTGCGAGGTGCATTTTGATTCTTAGGTATGCACTTGGGTGTATTTGCCGTTAACTCAGCTCTTATGGCAGATGTATTATTACACACGGCCATGGGTTCATTGGTTTCTGACTTGGGGTTCTCCTTTGGCTCCTCCAGTCTCGCTGTGCTGCAAAGTCTGCACCCCACCCCCATCCCCCACCCCACCCCCGCCACCCCGTGATAATTGAGGTGTTGATCTCAGTTTCTCCAGCCTGGACTCTATATCCAGGCAGTGAGACTGTTCTGTTAAGTCCCAACATACTTAGCATATAAGTTCCTGCGCACTAAGGACCATGAATCTAGCGCTAAGGGCCTGCAGATAACGAAGGCTTTCCTTCCTTCAGTCTTTCAGGTGTGTTGTAGCCCTGCCTGTCCTGGAGCTCACTCTGTAGACCAGGCTGGCCTCAAACTCACAGAGCCCCCTCCTGCCACTGCCTTCCGAGTGCTGGGATTAAAGGCGTGCCCTACCACCGCCCATATGTATGGTTCTTAAAATGAAATTTAGATCATTTGGGATGTGGGATTAAATAATAGCGGAGCTCATAATGAGAAGCCACTTCCCGTTTGATTCGATAGCAGTCCAGGTAAGGATAGAGGTTCCATGCATAAACCCTTGCAGGCAATAGAATTCTAACAGTGTTTAGTTGCTGCCCTTCAACATACACAGTGTGTTTTCCTGTGTGCAGAGAGAGGCAGAAACACGGGAAGATTCACTACCACTATTGGGTGGATTAGGAAAGGAAGGGTCTGTGTAGCTCATATGGCAGATACGGCACACAAGTAGCTTTTGGCCTAGGCTTTGTCATAGGCTTGTTCGATTTCTACCTTGGGGTGCTTCTCATCGGCTCCTGCAATTACACCACCCAGCTGAACATGCCACATCTATGTGTTTGTTGTTTTCAAGTGAGTTCTCTCTGGGCATTTGACGGTGACTGACTAGCATATGCCATGGCGAGATG